GTCAAATCTATTATGAGTGTTATATCATTAATTTGGCTAAAGAATATTTTAATCAGTGGGAGTGATCATTTAGAAAAAGATCGTTAAAATACTCCACTAAAATTGATGGATTTAATTGTTTTCGTACATTCCAAATTGGATTGTGCGTCTAGCAATAAGTCCAAAAGTTTCCACAAGTATTAATTTAATTTTTTTGTTCTTATAATTCATAAGTTCATTTCATTGAACGTTTGGTTGTACAATATATTCATGAAAATGTTGTAACAATATTAATGAATTTATTAGAACGAAAGAATTTAACTTGTGGTGCACTGCCAATTAATAAATTTTTTAGCGATTAATAGAGTTTTTAGTTTCTTCAAAATTGATCCTGGGCCATTTTTGGTTTGTAAGGCTCAAAACAATTTTGTAAGACATAATAAGTAAGACTCGTAATGTTCAATTAATTTCGAGGTGGACCTTGAGATTATTTGGGAAGTTGCTGTATGTTTAAGATTCCAAATTTATGGACTTAGACCTTTTTTGGTTTGTTGTCTAAGTTATTGGAATGTTTCTATGACTTGACTATCTTTTGACTATCTTAATGAGTGGGAGTGACAGACGTTTCAACTCCAAGCTCTTAGCCGTTAGAGGTAGTGTTTGGGTTAATTTATAAAAAAAAGTCATAGAATATAGTTAGCATTATGCTTGGAAGAATGACCATGGATCGAGTCTCACCAGCGGCAGTGTGGGAGCAACCTCTCAAAGTGAGGGGGGCTCCTTGTGCGCAGTGAGCACCGGTCTAGCCTCTATGGTTCATGTTCAGTTGAGTCACCATGATTTACATCCTCCCAAAATGCTCTGTCGGGCCGGGGTGTGGGGGGCCCTTAGGGTTGGGGTTCAGCCTTTTTGGAAGAACATTAAGATATCTCTACTTAAGGCATGCTTCTAAGGTTTTGGAGATCATACAGTGAATTTGGATGGTTTCTTCCTTCAGTTGTGCACATAATATATTTTGAGAAACATCCATTAAGGGACTAAGAATAAACGTAGGGTTTGTTCATTAAGAACCTAAGTTAGGGAATTTAAATGCATGTGATCATATGAGATATTACTCACTTGATTAGTAGAGGACGTATTACTATGATTCATGTGTTTTGTTCTTTAATGAAGGTTGTGTCAGTACTTGCACCAAGTGGGAGAATGTAAATATTTTCTCTAAATACAATATATTATAACATATTGTATTATTGGGTGGCTGTGGTGCAAGTAGGAGATTAAGTCAATTGGTGACTTAATTTGTTAGGTAATTGAGGATATTCAGTTTAACTTAAACTGAATATCTGCCTACGTTGATGGCAGGTAGGCTTCTAAGCAAAACAGTCCTCCCACAGCTCCCGTGTTCAGAATACACGCACCAACAGGTATTCGGAAGAGAAGTGGTAGACAAAACACTTTCTACAGGTTTACCAACCCAGAGGCAATTTCCACAACTATGGCTAGGGATGTTCAAAGGTCCTAAAGCTTCCGCTGTAACGAGTCAGATTGCTCGTTTACTTCAGTTTATGTTAGCTTTATTATTATCTAACACTGAACACTAGTCGGACGGTAGAGTAACACCTAACGCCTAGCGCTAAAACAATCTAGGCGGGCGCCTATGCGGCTAATTAAAAAAAAAAAAAACAATGCACAATGTGTGAGTTTATATGTCATATATATATATATATATATATATGGGGTTGCATTCAAATACAAACTTGAGCTCGTGCACACATTAACATACTTACATGCAGCGTAGGAGAAAAAATCACAAGCATCCATCAAAGCTCGTGCACACATTAACATACTTACATGCACACAACGCTTAGGAGGAAAAAATTACAACCATCCATCAAAGCTTGTGCGCACATTAACATACTTGCATGCACACTGCCAACAATATATGAGATTAGCTCGTGCACATGTTAACATACTTACATGCATACAGTTTGTATTTTAAGGGGGGTTTGTAGTTGAATATATATATATATATATATATATAGCCAAGAGATACATATCAATATTCAAGTATAACATGCAATATCATAATATCCAACCTTACTCCAATCCAACATTTACACCAAAAGTCCAACCTATACGCCAGTCCAATCTTATCCACCAAAGTGAAGCCTAAGCTTCTTGCCACCGATACAAATGGAGCCAAAGCCCCTATACAAATGGAGCCAAAACTCATATTCCACCAATCCAGTTTTACCAATCTCAATAATAGAATATATATTCAAAAAAGTATATATATATATATATAATATATATAATATATATATATATATATATATATATATATATATATATATATATATATATATATATATATATATATATATATATATATATATATATATATATATATACACACACACACAAATACACACACACATACACACTATTATTTTTAAAAAATTAATATAACTAAGATTTTAATATTTAATTTTAATATTGGGCATATATTTTAGTTATATTAAAATTAAATATTAAAATCTTAGTTATATTAATTTTTTAAAAAATAATTTTGTGTGTGTGTGTGTGTGTGTGTGTGTGTGTGTGTGTGTGTATATATATATATATATATATATATATATATATATATATATAATTGTATAATTTATATTAATATTATTGAGGTAAGAATTATAGAAATGTTAAATTTCTAAATATAACTATGGTAACATTTTAATTAAAACCTAAATGAATTCAAACTTACCATTGAAGGATATAAGAAAAATTATTGTGTATGCATGTACATAGTAATAATAATATGGAAAGATAACAGAAGTTATAACAACAGGGATATTTTTGTCCAAAAAATTATATAGTACAACTTTTATAGAACAAGGTACAAAAAAAATTAACGGAAAAAATGAACATAAACAAGGGGTATAACCTGGATTGAAGCTTATTATGTTTTTAGATTAGATATATATATATATATATATATATATATATATATATATATATATATATATACCACTATGCTTGTTGTTATGTTTGACTCTTGGAAACCCTATTGTTGAGTAGTTGGTTATTCCCATTTTTGGCTTATGAACTTGAGTTGAGATGTAATTCCGTTTGTTGGTCATTGAATCTAAGTTGACTTGAGTTGATTTCTCGTTATCTTTCTTGAATTGAAGCATATATATATATATATATATATATATATATATATATATATATATATATATATATATATATATATATATATACCACTATGCTTGTTGTTGTGTTTGACTCTTGGAAACCCTATTGTTGAGTAGTTGGTTATTCCCGTTTTTGGCTTATGAACTTGAGTTGAGATGTAATTCCGTTTGTTGGTCATTGAATCTAAGTTGACTTGAGTTGATTTCCCGTTATCTTTCTTGAATTGAAGTCATTTGAGTATTCTATTGATTGAGTCCTTACCTTGTGATTTGAGCAGTCTTGATTGAGTATTGTTAACATATGAGGTTATTTTTATCATTTATAATCAATCTGCATTGCTAAAAATGTTCACATGAAGATAATGAAATTTTTGCAATGGATATTAATTCTAAATGACAAACATAACTTCATAAAAAGAATTTATTAACTGAGTTTGATAATGATATAACGTTAGAGACTGAAAGTACAACATAATAGACAATTAAGGAACTAAATCTATTTAAATCAATAAGGAAAAATGACATTTTTTTCTCCCTGAGTTATATGCTTATAACACTTTTTCTCCTTAAATTATTCATGTATCTACATTTTCCCCCTCAGTTATATTATAAATGTCATTTTCCCCCCTTTTATGTTACATTGACATTTTTACCCTTATTTCATTTATTTTTTCTTCTCTAACGAATTATTGCTTATATGTACGAATGACCACGGCTCAGTTCGAACCTAACCGGATCAAAATAATGGGGACGATTTTGGTTACGATTCAGAACTAAAAAAATAAAATAAAATAAAATAAAATTTATTTATTTATTTTTGTAAATTTTATTTTTTATTTTTAAAATAATCTAAATTCGACAAGTATTTTATTTTATTATGTTTTTTCGGTTCTAAATCGTAACTGGAACCGTCCCTATTGTTTGAATTCGGTTGCTATAGTGTCCAGTTAAGTTTGAATGAACCGTGGCTATCCGTGCATATAAGCAATAATTTATTAGAGAAGAAAAATAAATAAAATACTTAGTTTTAAGAATAAAAATGTCCATCTAACATAAAACAGGATAAAATTGTCACTTTTAATATAACTAGTAATTCACCCGCGCGATGCACGGGAAAAAATTATGTTATTATAATTATAAATAAAAAATAGAAAAACTAAAACATTTTAAATTATTTAATATAATAATATTTTTGAGCTTCCATTGGTCAAGTATTTATTATTTTTATAGAATACAAAATTACAATTAAAATTAAAATTAAAATTAAAATTTTGTATGGTTAATATAATCTCTAATTATGTGCATATTCAAATAAACTTATAGAGAGAATTTACATAATTACATTGATTTATTCTTAATTGTATTTCATCTATATTATAATTTTCACAATACGAATAATGACTAAAATAATTACATTTAGAAAGCAAATTTCAAATTTTGTATGAGTAAATTTAAACTCTAATTGAATACATTTTTTATATGATTATATAATATATAGCTATTTTATTTTTCAAAAGTACATTTTTATATGATTATATAATATATAGCTATTTTATTTTTCAAATGTTGTGTTTTTTTTTTTTTTTTTATTATAATAAAGGATGTTGTGATATTAATTGTAACATTAATTACTTCTCAAACCATATAGCTTTATTATAGTTAACACTAATGGGGTAATGTAAGTTCATGAATAATTTAGAGGTAAAAGGTGCTATAAACTTAAAATTCATGGGAAAAAGTGCAAATTTCCCATCAATTAACATAATAGGTCTTGTTTGGTAATGATTATAAGTTGAGTTACGATTATGAAAAATGGACAGTACTTTATTTTGGATTGATACAGCCTACTTTATTTTTGCAATAAATTAATTAAAGTCCATGCAGGCCACTACTAAGTTTGAACAGATAATAAAAACCAACAACAAACACTTAATAATACAATTATAATCATTGTACTTCTGAATCTCCTTAATTAATTGCCTTCTTTCTGCAACCTAAACCTCAACAAGCCAGAGGTACCATCAAGCCCTTTCTTCTGGAAATGCATAAGGTATTCCTCTGTGGTTGTCTCTCTATACAATGGAGGATTCTCATCAGAAACCAACTCCTTTATCGGTCCATATACTTTCTTGGCATCCACGTCACCGGGGATTGTTCTAAAGAAACTTGCAACTGAAACTCTGGGGGCTATCTTTTGTGCTATTACTCTATGCACCACACTTTTGAACTTGTCATTTGTGATCAACTGCCACAAATTAAAAGCCAAAAACAACAACAGAAAAGTTCTTAAATGTATATTTGGTAGAGCTTATTCAGAAGTTTATAACTTATTTTATTATTCTTTTTTGTGGATGTTGACATGTTCTATTTAATATTCATTGCTTAAATCGGCTCGTTCGTCTTTTCTTTTTATTCTTTAGTATTTTTTTTAATAATTCTTAAATTTCATTTTTTGTTTTGTTTTTAAAAGTACCTGATAGTTTTGTTGGAACCGGATCCATCGTAAACCGGGAACAAAGATACAAAATAGGGGCAAGAAAGTAATAATTTTTTTTACTCGGGGGCGCTCAGCCCAAATATACGTACAATGACCGAGGTACCAACCCAGAAAGGGAGGCCCAAAATACAAAGACTAGGGCCTAGAAGAACAATCGTTATGCCATGGAACCGTGTTCACCATTCATGGTGAACACGGTTCCAACGGTGTTAGTACACCGTTATCTTTTTTTTTTTTTTTTTTTTTTTTCTTAATTAATTGCGTGACTTTTCTTCTTCATTTTCACATTTCGCGGTTTCACTTTAATTTGAGGTGAGCAATGATTTCGGACATTCATAAATTATGAATTCATGTCTGCACATTCACTTTGGAACCATGCCTACACATTCCCGTCCGAAATCACGGACATTCATAAATTATGAATCCATGCATGCACATTCACTTTGGAACCATGCCTACACATTCACTTTGGAACCATGAGATTATGAATTTTCTGTTATAAGATTATGAATTTTCTGTTATGAGATTATGAATTTTCTGTTATGAGATTATGAATCTACATTACATTCATAATCTCATTCTCATAACAGAAAATTCATAATCTCATAACAGAAAATTCATAATTTAATAAATATTTTACTTTTATGCGATTATGAATTTTCTGTTATGAGATTATGAATTTTCATTACATTCATAATCTCATAACAGAAAATTCATAATTTGATCAAACGGCGCAGTTAACTCCACATCCGCGATTTTTTTTTTTTTTTTTTTTTTTTTTTTTTTTTTTGTGTAAAAACGATGTCGTTTGGACTTGTGTTCACCATTCACGGTGAACACGTTTCCAGGGCATAATTTGCGCCCGAAGAAGGGCTATCCATTGCTTAATTCTTTTTTTTTTTTTTTTTTTTTTTTATTTTTTTTTTTTTTTTTTTTTTTTTTTTTTTTTTTTTATAATTCTTAGGGAAAATGGCACTTTTTACACTTGAGTTATATACTTATAGCACTTTTTTCCCCTCAATTATTTAGGTAAGCACATTAGCCCCCTCAATTATTCTAAAAGTGGTGCTTTTTCCCCCCTGATATATTAAATTGACATTTATACCCTTAAAGTAAATATTTTATTTATTTTACTACTCCAACAAATTATTGCGTATACGTAGGGATGACCACGGTTCGGTTTGAATTGAACCGGATACTAAAGCAATCAAATTAATAGTTTTCGGTTATAATTCAGATCTAGAACCCAATATTTAAATGTCAATTTATTAAAATTATGTATCAAAAAAATTGAATCTTGAACCGTGAACTGGCGATTCCGGATCCGATTCGCGATTTTGAACCGTCATTATTTTAAAATTTTGATTTTTATTTTAAAATAGTCTAAATTCAACAATAAATGTATTTTATTTTTTCAGTTCCGAACATGAACCGTCCGTTCCGGTTCACGATTTTAATAAACTCTAAATATCGAATTTCGATTTTAAATTGTAATTGGAATATTTCGGTTTGATTGCTATAGTGTTTGTTTGGTTTGAACCAAATTATGGTCATAATTTGTTGGAGAAAAAAATAAATTAAATATTTAGTTTAAGGGTAAATATGTCCATTTAACATTTCAGGGGGAAAAACAGTCACTTCAATAATTTAGGGGAAAAAAAATACTATAAATGTATAACTTAGGGGGAAAAAGTGTCATTTTCCCTAATTCTTAAATTTCATTTTTTTTTGTTTTTAATAGTACATTTAATGTAATTTCTAAATACATAAATGGTATATATTAATAATAAACTTAATATTATGAAAAATTAAATTATAAATAATTTCAGTCAAACCTCGTTAATTGAACTAAATATATAAAACCGGATGGACATTGTATAAAACATTTTATTTTTCATAACGTTTCTTTTTTATTTTTCACTTTTATTTATCTTTTTGTATAATTATATATATTATATTCAAAGAAGTCACAATTATAGTATAGTTTTATTTTAAAATTTTATGAAAAATTAAGGTTTTAATTAATTAGATCTACAAATATCATATAATTAACTTAGAGACTAAAAGCTTAATTTTTCTTATATAAAACAAAATTTAAGAAGTGTACATATATACCTGCAGAAGATCAGCAACATTGACTACCAGAGCCCCATGCAATGGAGGGACATCAACCCATTGGTTTTCATGAAGAACCTGGAGGCCACCAATTTGAGTATCTTGATTTAGTACTGTAAAAAAACCACTGTCAGAATGGTCTCTAAGTGCAAACGTGAGCTCTGGTTCAGGGCAAGCCGGGTAGTACTGGCCGAAGATGGAAAGCCCCACAGCACACCCCAGTTTCTCCAGATGGTTTTTGTGCAGGCCCAGTGACTCTGAGAACAATTCCAATAGACACAGCCCAAGTTTTTGCACAGAGTTGGAGTATTTTATCAGTATGTCCCTGAAGTAGTTGTCATCAATAACGACACATTTAGTCAGATCATAATTAGGGTTCTAAACATAAATGAATGGAGGTTACGTTGCTCGTGCATGTTCGTTTGTTAATATTTTTGGAGTGTTCGTGTTCGTTCGTTAAGCGTCCATTAGTGTTTGTGAACACATTCATGAACACTTAATAATCAGTGACTACAGCAAAAGCACAACTTTATTTTCTTAAGTTAATTACTAAAATAGTCCCTTGGTTATATTGAAATTGCCAATTTGGTCCTCGATTATTTTTTTTGATCAATTAAGTCCTTCAATTTTAAAAATCTTAACTAATTTGGTCCAACGTTAGTTTGGCCGCTAGACTTCCGTTAACTTGAGACCAAATTAGTAATTTTGCTATTGTCAATGGACCATTTCAGTAATTAACTTTAGGAGTGGCAATTCGGTTCGATTTTCCCGAACCAAACCATACCGAACCGTATCAAACAACCGAATGGTAATGGATTTCGAATTGTTTGGTAAAAAACTAAATCGAAACAAATTATTCGGTAAAAAACTGAATCGAATCGAATACCGTTTGAATTTTTAAATATAATAATAATAATTAATAATAATAATAATAATAATAATAATAATAATAATAATAATAATAATAATAATAATAATAATAATAATAATGAAGTAATTCTAAGTCCCTTGTTGCCTGTTCTGCCGTTCAGCTCATATTCTCACTGATATCTCTCGTAAATGTTTTATTATTATTATTATTATTATTATTATTATTATTATTATTATTATTATTATTATTATTATATTTTAAATAAAATCGTTTTCAAAAAAAAAAATCAAACGGTATTTCCTTTCGGTTTTTAACCGAATCGTTTGGTACGGTTAATTACTTCAATGTTCGGTGTCATTCAGTTCAGAAAAATCGAACCGAATTATCCAAACCTAAAGTTAATTATTACTGAAATGGTCCTTGACTATAGCAAAATTACCAATTTGGTCCCAAGCTAACGGAAGTCTAACAGTAAAACTAACGGAGGACCAAATTGTTAAGAATTTTTAAAATTATGGGACTTAATTAGTCAAAAAAATAGTCGAGGACCAAATTGGTAATTTCACTATAGTCAAGGGACCATTTTGGTAATTAACTCGTTTCTTATATATAGCCATATTTTTTAGAGGCAGATGCTGGATCGGACTCAGTTCTTCACTGGTATCCGCCCAACAATCTCCCAGCTACCAATTTCTACACATACTTGGCTCTTTACCGGCTCGGCCTCTGCTCAACCGAGCTATATATAGTTTTTTGTGTAGTGATAAGTCGAGCCCAGGAAAGGAAAGGAAAACAAAGGAATGGAAGCAAAAACTATGTATACCTGCATACTTGTGGCAATTCTTGAGGCGTAGGAGGATGAGGAGCCATGATAAAATAAAGGGTATCCCTCCAAGTTGCTGCCGGTGAAGTATGAAAATCAAAGTTGGTGTTGTATACTACTTTTCTGGTGAGATCGCGGGAGTAGAACTGTTTCTTCACCTCAGAGTCCAGCTCGTGAAACTGACGAACGCCGTCAATCATTTCATCAAGAACTTGAGTGGGAATCCCATGATTGATAATCTGAAAGAAACCCCAGGTTTGACATGCATCCCTGATTTCTTTGATGATTTCAGAACGGCGAGTTGTGTGGTCGGTATGGAGGCCTTCCATGTCTATGATGGGAACCTTGTACGTACTGGCCATGGCGGGCTTCAATTTCTCCTTCTCCTCTTTCTTGATTTCATCATGAATGAATATTCGTGGGATTTTCATTATTCCAGAATCTACATGCCCCTTTACCCCGGTTTTCATGTCATCAAAGGCTTTCAGCTCGCTTTTCCGATCATAATCGCCGGAATCAGCTTTGCCGCCAGTGCTTGCGGTGGCCATCTCTCTCTCTCTCTCTCTCTCTTTCTCTGGAGCTTTAATTTGCTTGATTGATTGGCTATTTCAAACACTAAACTTCAATTTCAAGCTAAGAGAAATTGGATTTTATTTGTATGTAAAATTAAATTGTATGCATGATACCAAGACTATGTGATCTAATGGTAGTCGGGTTAGACTTTCATTTGGAAGGTTATGAGTTTGAACTTCAGTGGAGGCGTTATTTGTTCTTTGTGTTTCAGTAGGTTGAGAAAGTACATGAACAAATACTATATTGTAATAGAGCCACTAACATTCAAAAAACAAATGTATGCATGTTCATCAATAATTGAGTCTATGATAAGGAATTAAATATTTTTATTCTTGAAATACTCTAACTTTTAAAAGTGGATCTTACCTAGCCTCTATATCCTTAAATTTGTAAAAAAAAAAAAAAAAAAAAAAAAAAATTAAAAAATCACTATTTTCTTTACATTTTTACAATACTCTTCCACTTTTAAAAGTGGACCCACTTTCATATCACAACAATAAATTAATATATTTTTCTAATAAATATATACATCTACTAATAAATCTAATGAGAGTCAATAAAGTTAGACATATAACAAAAGTTAAAAAAAATATTGGTCCAATGGTACCAAGTTGAACTCCCACTGCGCAGCACATGAGAAGTTGTGGGTTCGAGCTCAAAAAGGTTTCATTGGTTCATATTATAATGTTTGTTCAATTGTTTGTTAAATCATTGGTGTATATTATTTTGATTTTAGTTTCAGTCTAAACTTTAGCAATGGAATATTCCATTAACTATTTAATATTATTAACTTACTCATTAATTTATATAAGGAAGGTCTTAGGTTCGAATCTCATCACAATCAGAGTTTGCATAATTGTTGAACATATATTATTGTTAGTTATGATATTAGGGCAATCATTATTGTGTGGACCATATCGATCCACTAATCTAGATGAATGGCTCAAGTTAAGTTCTTAGGTTCACATGTTAAGATAGATTCTCATATGAATATATATATATATATATATATATATATATATATATATATATATAAGAGCGCTCAAATGCGGCAGTGGCTTTAGGTGCGGCGGTGCGGTTATATCAGCATTGTCCATTTTGCTTAATCTAACGGCAGCGGCTAATTTCTGAAGATTTAAAGATTTAAGCGCGTCCTGATAAGTGGGGGGTGTTATGGTAATTGTAGTGGTCATTTATATCGGCCGCTTCTCAGAATACACCAACAGTGTTAACAAAAGACACCAATAGTGTTAGGAAAAAGCACCACAATGAAATGCACAAATACACCAAAAAACACACAACACACTCAAAAAATACACCATATAACTCACCACCCCAATGGTGTATTTCTGAACACTGTGCGGTGCTTTTATTCATACCTAATGGTGTGTTCTGGTGATGCATATCTAATTTGTGACATGTTTTTGTGGTGTGCATTTTCTAACATGGATGGTGTATATTTGTATAACTATTAGTGCACCCGCACTGAGCACATGGGAAGGCGCGGGCGCACCTAAACTTGGCACCAACATGAATCCTCAAATACACCACAGTAAGGTTAATAATGCACCAATAACGAACATAAAACACACAACACTATGATTTGATCTATTCAGGTGCCCAATGACGACTTTAACCTTGCAGTTCGCGTAGTGTGAGAACGTGCGCGAAAATATCGAAAAAGCCTGGATGAATGTGATTCGTTGAATTTATTTAATCTAATGGCCTACATTTAACCGCACCGCCGCACCTAAGCGCACTGCCGCACTTGAACCTTCCTCTATATATATATATATATATATATATATATATATATATATATATATATATATGCACATGTTGATGTATTTGATTATATAAACATATATGCTTGTGTTGTCTACTTCAAATATATATGCACATGTGGATGCATTTGATTATATAAACATATATGCTTGTGTTGTCTACTTCAACAGTGCAACATTTCAACCATCATAATTCATACAAATTATTTGATCTTTTATGATGCATAACAACAAAATATTAAAGTACAGAAAGGACTGATGCTTCAGCCCCCTCAGCTTTGCCGCTAGTGCTTGTGGTAGCCATCTCTATCTCTCTCCACATAGAGGTAATAGAAGTAATCACATTACCGCTATATCAGCTTTGGGATAATATAATATTATAAGGTAATTTTATAATTTGGACCGAACAAGATAATATAATATTATCAAACTCGCATTACTTATGTAATATTATATTACGTGAACCAAACGTCGTAGTTTATGTTGCAATTTTTTCCTTATATAATTTTTCTGTAAAATTCTTTAGTCAATCATAAGGCTTATGATATTGATAATAACAATAGTTCTGTGAATAGTCTTACTATTGATCAATCCATGATAATATAAAGTACATGGTGAAGAGATGTATTTGTAAGGATACGAAGAGTCGTCCCTGTCATGTTAGGATTGGTAAATGGTAATATTCTTAATAATATAGGGAGAGAGAGAATGAATTCTAGTGCCTAGAATACAGAGTCTTAATATGTCACTTCAAGCTTAAAGTTCTCTTGAGAGAACATTGAGCTTGTCCCTTAGATCACTTATCCTTGATGTGGTTAGTCACTTGGTGAAGATGCATTCTAGTTGGTCTTTTTGTAGAGATAAAGTGATGGGCTATTTGTAAGGTATTTATCGGGGTTGTGGTTCGATAGACAATATCGAAGATGATGCGAGAAGAGGATGCAGTGTTACTGGCCGGCGGTGGTGCGCCGGCAGGGGATTAGTGGCGGCAACAATTTTTCTTTTGGTATGGTTTGTAGCCATGGATCATTTGGTCTATTGATACCAAATGAGAATAATAGTTTTGGGAATAATCTTATTATTGATTAATGTATCAATGTATGATGATCTAAAGTACATGATGGAAATACAAAGAGTCCCAATTAAATTAGGAATGGTAAATGGTAATATCTTAATTATAATAAAGCCATATGGTCTTGTGAAAAATAAATGTTGGTATTAACAATATTTAATTTTCACAAGATCATATGGCTTTAAGAAGCATGCATGCACACCACACGTGTAACCCCAAAGTCCATAAGTTTGAAATTAATATATAGCATAGCTAGGCGGCCTAATATTTAAGATTGTTGATGTGCATATATATCGAGGACTACGGAGACAATGATGCGTTATTCGTGGATTCATCGGATATTATCCAACAACGCTCTCCAACTTAATTGACGTGAAGTAGGCTTAGTAACATTAAGATTATATTCTCGAATTATTAGTTATCATCTTTTATTGATTACACACTTAATTCGATAGTATTTGGAAGAAAAAAATCAATGTTCGAACTAAGATTGTGATTGTTTGGTCTTCAAAGGTCAATTGTATGTTGCTACATCTAGAGTTAGAAATCTCAAAGGTCTAAAAATTTTGATCCGTGGTGACTCTAAAATTGTAATTCAATTACTATTGTAGTTTACTAAGTTCTTAAAAATTTGTAATATTAAATACTATGTACTAAATTTTTAATATAGTTTAAGATTTGTAGTAATCACCCACCTTAAATATTATTTTAATTGTAAATATATTTATGTTCATAATTTTATCATAGGAATTCACACATAATAATTATTAAATAACAAAAATTTTATATATGAATAAACCTCATATAAGGTATATTTTTATAACATATTTTTCGTGCATCGCACGGGACAAATACTAGTTTTTAGTAATATAAGAAAAGGGAGAATGAATTCAAATATGCCTAGAATACAAAGTCCAAATAATATTCAAACAATATGTATGTAATGCCCAGTTGCAAACTAAAGGACAAGAACATCAAATAACACATGGCAAAGCTAGTTACTTGGAATTGTTTCTTATACCAGCTGAAATGATTATTTATCTTCTTCTTCTTCTTCTTTTAAGATTCCATCCTAATTTTGAATGATTATATTTGTCTTTACTTTAAACTCTTGGGGGAAGAAGTAAACCATATAACAAAATGTGTTCCCTTAAAAAAATAACAAAAAAATTGAGAAAATGACACTTTTTCCCCGTATTATATACTTATAGTACTTTTTTCTTTAAATATATATATATATATATATATATATATATATATATATATATATATATAAAAGTAAAACCATCCTACATCATTTTCCCGCCCAAACTTCTTTACTCAAATACTTAAATATTTTAATTATTGGTCAAATAATTAATAAATCTTATTTGGTAACCAAATAATATTGCATATTTATGGTATTGCCTATGTGAATACTATGCAATACCATAATTATGAAATATCATAATTAAGACAAGATTATATATATAGAATCAGTATCCGTTTATTATTTTTTCAATTATATATTTAATTAATTTTAATTTTAATTATAAAAATATTTACAGAATATTAATTTCATATAAGGTCAATTTTTTGTGGCTATAAAATGATAAGATTTGCCTCTACTACTCGATCAGAGATTCAAGAATCAGATTCTCTCTCTAAGGTTTTTTCAAGAATGGTTGATTGTCGTCATCGTTCCCGGTCCCAGCACAAGAGAGTGTCCCATCCTGGTCGGCATTAACATTTCCTTTCGTATGTATTCTCTCTCGATTTTCTTTTCAAATTCTGAGTTTCCCACGCGTATGTGTATGTTTATCAACACGTCTTCCATGTGCAGGTATTCCAAAAACGAATAGAAATTGTGTCATAACGTTGGACAAAGCTTTATGTATCGAACTTGGGGGATGAAATTTTGAACAACAATATTTTTGTAAATTCTCTCTGGTGTATTTTTTTAATTCTTATTTCAAATTTATTCATACACATAGATAATCTGGGTGTGTGCATGCAGGAACTGTTTTCATATATTGGTTATTTGAATTCGTCCACACTCCACATAGAGAATTTGTTTTATTTTGTTTTTTTTTTTTTTTGGATTTTCCAATATTTAAATAAGAAAAGTGGTTTGTATTAAAAAATGTTGATATATTCTTCTCTTTTTTTTTTTTTTTTTTTTTTTTTTTTTTTTTTTTTGGAGAAGATACGGATCTAGAAAGATTGATCGGGAAGCAATAGAGTTCGTTGCTCATCAAGTGGATAAAGTTTGAGGAGGGACGGATTCTATGTATATGTAAAGAGATATAGAGGGAAGCATGATAAGATACAGTAAAACCAAAATGAAATTCAAAGCATCTTTTAGTTGTCAATATATCAGTTGAGCTTTGTTTCGATTCAATCTCTTCGTCTTTAAAGTGTGCATTTTCTGTAATAAGAGAGTAGTTTGTCGTCTCTCCCTTCAAGAGGTTTTTCTTGCCATTAAAACTTTTTTTTTTTTGGGGGACGAAAAAATTATGAAGTACTGTAGTTTAGTTTGAATAGAGTATTATTAAGGTTCAAATTGGCCACTGAACGTAACCTGAAAATGCAATTAGGCCACTGAACGAAAAAAAAAGAAGGTGCAATTAGGCCACTGAACACTCCAAAAATGTGCAATTTCACTTGATAGCAGGTTGCCTTCAATTTTAGCAGGTTATCTGCTTACGTGGCAGCTGAGTTGACATTTTTAATAAATTTTAAATAATTTTTAATAAATTTTAATAATAAATTTTTATTTAAAAAAATTTTTAAAAAATAAAAATGACTTTATTTTATTATTTATTTATTTTTTTCAATTTTTTTATAAAATTTATTATTAAAATTAATTATTAAAAATTATTTAAAAATGCCAACTCAGCTGCCACGTAAGCAGGTAACCTGCTAAAATTGATGGTAACCTGCTATCCGGTGAAATTGCATACGTTTGGAGAGTTCAGTGGCCTAATTGCACGTTTTTGGAGTGTTCAGTGACCTAATTGCACTTTTTTTTTTCGTTCAGTGGCCTAATTGTATTTTCAGGTTACGTTCAGTGGCCAATTTGAACCTTATTCCTTGATTTTATTCTTTAGCTGACTTCCCTTGATTCAAATCACTTTTCTAATGTGAAATGATGTTATTGACTTACCATGTTTGCTTCGATATGCTAAGTCATTTAAAATATAATAAAATTTATAATTGTAATACTTTCATAATAATAATACTGAATAAAAATTAACCATATGTTTAGATTTAATAATATATTATATTAAAAGATTAATATCTAATATAGTGATGGTTAATACAGATAAACCATATATAAGCATAATATAATATAGAAAAATATTCATTATTAACCATATATAACTTAGGAATAAATAAACTTATTGAAACTTAATTATTTATAACTTCAACTTTAATCTAAATATATGAATTTAAATATATAGTTTTAATATCCAAAATTAATAAGATTTTTCTTAATGTGAATCTATATATTTTTAATAATTTCAATTTAATAATATTATACCTTAATTATAAAAATTATACCTAACAACTTTAGTATTACATGACATACAATAATTTTCATAAATAATATTTAATAATTGACAATTTGTATTAGGCAATCAAAATTAATAGTTAATTATTATGTCAATTATAAAAAAATTTGTACTGTGAACAAATTATTTTTTATTATTTTGATTTAATAATATTATTATATCTTATTTATAAAAATTTATAAAAATTAAAAGTAATACTTTTAGTACTATAGATGTGACTAATAATTAACTTAATTATTAAGATAGTTAATATATATTTAACTTAAAAAAATCTTCAAATATATGAATTATAGTAGCATGGAATCAATTAGTGGGACAATTATATTAGGCAATCTAATTAATAATTGACTTTTTAAATTATATTCTATTTTTAATAATGAGTATTTTCCTAAAGTATATACATACACAAATTATGATGAGATAAGGATTGCAGTTTCAATTCCAACACAATAGAGATTACAGAACAGTATTCTAAATACACAACGTGAACTAATCCTATTAACTAAGCCATAAATAACTAATCTAATATAAAGACTAGTCAACATAACTAATACAAATAATAATGTAAATAATAACATCTCTAACACACCCCCTCAAGCTCAAGAGTGGTGAGCAACAATGTTGAGCTTGTCACGTAGAGCTGCAAAGCGGGGCCCTGGCAATGGCTTGGTAAATATGTCAGCTAGCTGATCCTTCGTCGAAACAAAATTAACAACCAAGTCACCCGAAGCCACTTTGTCTCGAACAAAGTGAAAATCAATCTCCACATGCTTGGTCCTAGCATGAAACACTGGGTTTGCACAAAGGTAGGTAGCACCCAGGTTATCGCACCAGAGTGTGGACGGCTCTCCCGAATGTAGCCCAAGTTCACGAAGAAGTGAAACAACCTAGGTTACCTCAGTTGACACGTCGGCGAGAGCTTTATACTCAGCTTCAGTCAAGGATCGGGCGACCGTGCGCTGCTTCCGAGATAGCCAGGAAATGAGGTTGTCACCCAGGAATACAGCATACCCACTAGTGCTTTTCCTGTCGATGGGACAACCGGCCCAATCCGAGTCCGAAAAACCATGTATAGTCGTCGAAGCAGAAGCGAAAAGACGCAAACCATACGAGATAGTTCCTTTGACATATCGTAGCACACGCTTCAATAGACCCCAATGATCACTGGTCGGCGAATGCATAAACTGACACAGTCTATTGACAGAAAAGGATAGATCCGGGCGCGTGATAGTCAGGTACTGAAGTGCCCCAACTAGACGCCGATACTGCGTCGGGTTGTCAAACGGTTCATCCGACGGAGTTACCGGCTGAGTGACTGCAACGGGAGTTGCCAAAGGCTTGCAATCCATCATTCCGGCACGGTTGAGAATGTCTTTCATATAGCGTTGCTGAGATAAGAGCAGTCCCGACTGCACTTCCAAAGTCTCGATCCCGAGAAAGAAACTTGGTGCTCCAAGATCACGGATTTTGAAAGTAGTGGACAAACGCTGTAGCAACTGAGAGATAAGAACAGAGTCGTTCCCCATCATTATTATGTCGTCGACATAAACTAGCAAGTACACGCGTGATGCGCCAGCTGAATAGTGGAACAGGGAGACGTCTGTTTTGGAGGATAAGAAACCTGCAGAGATTAAAAAGTCATGTAAGCGCTTAAACCAAGTCCGGGGAGCTTGTTTAAGTCTGTATAGTGACCGCTGAAGATGACACACATGATCTGGGTGTGTCGGGTCTTCATAACCCGGTGGCTGCTTCATGTAAACCGTCTCAACTAAATGCCCATTTAAGAAAGCATTGTGGACGTCTAGCTGTCGCATAGTCTAGTTGCGAGACACGGCAAGAGAAAATAATAGGCGAACGGTGGTCGGTTTGACCACAGGACTGAAAGTATAAAAAAAGTCATCTCCGGCTACTTGATTGAACCCCTTTGCCACAAGTCGAGCCTTGTACCGCTCAATCGAGCCATCAGCATTTCGTTTGGTGCGGAACACCCACTTGCAACCCACTATATTCATGTGTGGTTCTGCTGGTACGAGTATCCAAGTGTCGTTATGTATAAGAGCATTGAACTCTTGATCCATAGCATCCCGCCACTGCGGATGCCCTATCGCTTGTGAGTAACAAGTTGGATCAACAGATACGTTTAACGCCTGAAATGGCTCATCAGTGCCTCGGGTTTGATGTCTAAGCCGCATTACATGTGCACATTCTTGAACCTGTGTCCGGTGTTTTCGGATTCGAGCCCGAGGTGGCTCGGTTTGAGTCAGAATTGGCCCTTTTATGGCCAAGGGCGGTGATTCCCGAGCCAACGGCGTAGGACAATTCGGCTGAACACGTGGTACTGTGTCAACATTACCAGGAGGTGACTCGTGAGTCACAAGCGGCCCTACGGCCCATGGGACAGCTGTGGCGGCTGTCGGAGTTTGATTCGAGCCTGTTGAGTCTGAAAAAGGAAAAATTGACTCGTCAAAACGCACGTGGCGACAGATGTAGATTTTTCCACTTGTTAGGTTCATGCATCTATACCCCCTAAAGCTGAGTGGGTAACCTAAGAAGACACATGGGGCAGAGCGATACTCTATCTTGTGCCAATTGTAAGGCCGTAGATAGGGGTAACACTTGCACCCAAAGACCCGAAGGAAAGTGTATGGTGGGGGAGTTTTGTATAGACGAGTGTATGGACTTTCAAACTGTAAGACTGGTGTAGGCAAGTAATTAATTAGGCAGGTCGCTGTCTCAAAAGCAAAGTCCCAGTATTGTTGGGGAACTGAGCCTTCAGCCATTAACGCTAAACCAGTTTCAACAATGTGCCGGTTTTTGCGTTCGACCCTGCCGTTTTGCTCGTGTGTATATGCACATGATTGACGGTGAATTATGCCTAGTTGGGTGAATATGCTATGTAATTTGCGATATTCCCCACCTAGGTCCGATTGTATAGACTTGATAGAACGCCCGAATTGGCGCTCTACCATGACACGAAAAGACTCAAAACTTTTATAAATATCTGATTTTACCCGTAAGGGATAAAACCAGGAGAACCGTGAGTAGTCATCTACAAATAATAAGAAATATCTGAAGCCACTAGTAGATATTACAGGTGCCGGATCCCAGATATCGGTATATAACAAGTCTAATACATTTTCACTAGAATAATTAACCCTATCTAGTGGAAATCTACAAGCCTTGCCAAGATGACACGAAGCGCACGACCGCAACTCGTTTTTATTGGAAGCTATCGGACATGATTTTAGGACACGACTTTGAACATGAGTGTTTGGATGTCCCAAGCGACGATGCCAAATCGTGGGAGTTGCCCGTGCAGAAACAAACGCGAAATTAGACTGAGAGACCGGGAGCTTGTATAAGCCACCCGACACGAAACCTTTAAGCAGTACCGCCTTGGTGATTGTATCCTTCACAAGAAAGTAATTTTTGTGAAATTCAACAAACACAGCATTATCATTAGTAAGACGGGAAACAGATAATAAAGGTACAGACAACTTTGGAACATGTAACACATTTGACAAACGTAATGGTTTTGACGCAGATGGTATAGTAGCATGCCCAACACGCGAAATTATCAAACCTGTCCCGTTACCCACGTGAAGAACGTCACCACCGGTATATTCTTCGGATTGAGACATCATGGATGAGTCCGGGGTTGCATGCGTCGTGGCTCCGGTGTCGGGGAACCAGCCTGCTGCCGCCGTGGAGACTGCTGCCGACTCATCACCGGAGACCACCATGTTTGCCTGGGGCTGCGGCATCGGAGCATACCGCTTGTAGCAGTAGAGGGCGGTGTGCCCTTGTCCACGACAGATCTGGCAGCGCGGCGTGCCACCGTGACCTCCACGCCCTCCATTTCCGCGGCCACCCCGACCCCGATTGCGCCCGCCACTGCCGGAGCCGCCTCGGCCACTGTCACCACCGCGTCGGCCACCGCCACTGCCTCGTCCAGCGAACATGGCGGTCGGCGGAGTCATGAGCCCTGTGTCTGTCCCGGCCGGAAACTCGTCGGAGTAGATGAACTCCTGGGCGCGCAAATAATCCGCGATTTGAGGGATCGTCACGGGATTACCGGTCGCCGTTAAAGAAGACGCCATAGCTCGGTATTCGGGACGCAGACCCCGGAACACGAATAGATTCTGTTCGTCCAGGGAGATGGGACGACCGGCATGTGCTAAATCTTCCACGAGCAGCTGAGCACGCCCCAAATATTCGGCTGCCGTACTGTTCCCTTGCCGGAGGGAATGGAATTGGCCGAGTAAGCTGAGACACCTCGCCCGTGTCGAGCTCCCGAGTGCAGCGCCTATGGATTCCCAAACGGCGCGTGATGTAGTTTTCCCGACAGCCAGGTGCATGACTTCATCGGAGAGCGATGAAATCAGCAAGGAGAGCAGCGCCTGGTCTTGCTTCACCCAGGCACGGAATTCGGGATTCGGAACTGGCGCGGCAGTGGTGGCGGCGGACGTGGAGCCATCGGAGACTGGAGCAGCGGACACGGTCGGTGGAGGGCAAGGGGTCTCACCATCAATGTACCCAAGAAGTTCTTGGCCACGGAGGAAAGACAACAGTTGCGTTCGCCAAAACAAGAAGTTGCGATACGTCAACTTGATGGAGACAAAATGGTGCGCTCCTGACAGGGAATTTGCTGTGGGGTGAGGGAGGGTAGGATCGCCGGCGGATACTGTCCTCTCGGATGAGTTAGTAGACATGGTGTATCGCCGTCGACTTTGGGGGAGGAGGTGACGGTCGAAAAAGATCGGAGAGTAATTGGGAGGAGAGAGAAACCAACCCGGCTTGATACCAGATGAGATAAGGATTGCAGTTTCAATTCCAACATAATAGAGATTACAGAACAGTATTCTAAATACACAGCGTGAACTAATCCTATTAACTAGGAAAGCCATAAATAACTAATCTAATATAAAGACTATTCAACATAACTAATACAAATAATAATGTAAATAATAACATCTCTAACAATTATGCTTATCAAATATAGAGTTAGAAGTGTGTGTGTGTATAATTAATGAAATTATTTTATAGAAATTTCCACACACACACACACATGTGTATATATATATATATATATATATATATATATATATATATATATATATATATATATATATATATATATATATATAAAGGCAAAATCCTCATATTTAATTTTTCTAGTCTAAACTTTTGTAGTCAATTAATTAAATATTTTATTGGTCAAATAATTAATAAGGCTTATTTGGTAAGAAAATGTAAAATGGAAGTTAACTAAAATATATTAATTGGTAATATTATGTATGGTATTATTTTTTATAATATAATTGGTAATATTATTGTTCAAGTATAATAAAAATCTTAATTTTAATTCGTAATATAATAAAAATCATAATTGTGACCAGCCCTCTTAATTTATAATCTATACTATAATTAGAAACAAAATCCTATTTACCTGATTTCCAACACAAACAATAGTAAATAGTAAAAGTAAATTAAAAAAATAACTGAAATTAAAAAGGAACAGGAATATTTCACAATAATATTCTACATTATCAAATAAAAATGGAACAAAAGTTAGGTAAATGGGAAAAGGAAATGAATATTAATAATTGACTCAAAATTAAAAATTAAAAAAGAACGGAAATTAGGTTAATTGAAAAAAAATAAATATTAATAATTGGTTGAAAAAAATATCCATAATTGATTAAAATTAAAAAGGAAATGGTCAGATCATTACCTTTTAATTTTTCACTATAATATTACTCTGTAGAATAAATCAAATCACAATTATATCATAGATATTTCACAAATTTAAACAATGGAACAGAAATTAAAAATAGAACGAAAATATTAAACAATAAAATTTATAATAAAAGAATTGATCAAATAAAATATTTAAAAATATAATTGCTTGCATAAAATAAAAAATAAAAATCTAATATTAATAATATGTATAAAAATTATACTTGATATATTGCTAGGCATCACACAAAGTACTATTATTTGCAATAGCAATTTGAGACTACGAACAATAACAAGGTGCTACTGTTTGAAACCCCAAATTGTTGTTGCGAACAGTAGTTCGCTATTCGTAGTAACTTGTTGTTAAAAAAATGAAAAATATATATTACGAATATAAACATAAAAAAGAATAAAAATCAAAATATATAAGTATTTATATGAATATTATGAAACATATACTAAAATTTGATGATGAAAAATTTGCTTTGTTCATGTATTTCGGGAGAATTAGAGAAAGTTAGGGATAAAAAATTCATAGAAAAAATAAAAATCAATATAAACAAGCAATAATGAAGTAAAAATAATATTATTTCGAATTTTTAGATGAAGATTGTAAAGTTTAGGAGAGAGAAGAATTAGTAGAGTTTAGATATGAGGAAAATATAGGATAATGAAGAAAAAAAATAATTTTATTGAATTTAGATAGGTTTATAAACTTTAAGTAGGGAGAAAAAATAGAGTTTAAATAGGGACAGAACGTTCAAAGTTGTTAGAAAGAAAATTTTGAAATCTTGGGATTGATGGTTGGATTTTAACTATTTATATTTGAGAAAAAAAAATTCTACAAAAGTCTTAAAATTAAAAAGTCTACAAAAGTTCATAACTTTTTGGATATCACATGAGTTTTAAAGACTCTTTAAAAGTCTTAATTGAATACCATACGATTTTTAAAAACTCTTTAAAAGTCTTGATTGAATACCGCCTAACTTTTAAAGACTCTCTAAAAGTTTGAATTGAATACCTCTAAACTTTTAAAGTTCATAAAATCTTTAAAACTCTATGAAAGTCATGATTG